TGATGACAGTGGTGAGGCTCTGCCTCCCCTGCCTGTCTTGACTGCACATCCCTGCATCTGTTATACCTCTGTTGATGCTGCAACAATAATGTATTTCATTATGGTTCATCATACGGTTGTTTGGATGTTTATCCACCTTTCAAATCCTTCTCTAACTGTGGGATAGACAGTTTTTGTTACTTAATAATATGTACTGTCCCAGGACTTTCCAAGTAAAGCTGCCTTTTGCAATTGATTAATGGACACTTTGTCAATGCTGAGAGTGTTTAAATGTTTTAAATGGTGCTCCAGATGTTGTGGAATTGTACCCAAATACCCATTACCACATTTACTCCTTTTTTCCACAGTCACTTTCCTTCTATTTGAAGATCTTTGTATTTTGTGATTTTTTTCCCTTTATCTTCTATTCTGCTGTCTACAAATATATTATTACCCAACAGAATCAGTAGGGTATGAGTGTTCCAAGCAAGAGAGTACAGATTAGGAAAGAGACCATTTCCCTTTGAACGTAGGTGATGGCAGCAGGTACGGTACTACCACATCACTACTTTAGATTCAGAGTGTGAAGAATGTAATATTTTATAGCAGATTATTGTGATTACTACCTGGCTAGCCTATAGGGGCAACCCTGCTCACTACAGTCACATATCTGGTTTTATATTTTACCTGTGCACTTGTAAACATATTACAGAATGTTAAAATAGGAGAAAAAAGAAAGAGAATAATAAAGTTGGTGACCTTATCTAATCCCTTAATGCTGTCATTCCCCATCCTTTAAATTTATAAAATTTGGGAGTTTTAGTGCAATTCTAGAAATATGTACTGCAAAGAAAATTTCTATGAGTCCATTATCACCCTAATTTATTCTCAGATATGTGCATATTGAATTGCAGACTTATTGCACTACAACTGCACAATAGTATGCCTTCTCTTGTATGAACCATTACATTCATTCCAGTGATGGGATTCATTTTATTTTACTATCAGTTCTGTGTGTGTGGCTTTGTGGTCATGATGTGGCTTTGTGGGTGTGTGAAAATTAGCTGGGAGGCAGCAGGAGCGGGGCCAGCCTATTTGCCAGTTCTCTGAACTATTCAAAATTTCCACTACTAGTTCTCCCAAAGATACTAACATGGCTGCAAACATATCAGTAACCTTGTACACTGTATGTATAGTAGTCTGTCCAATATTCCAATTGGAGTAAAGATTCTATGTAATTAAAAACCCCTGCCAGACTGCATATTCTATATCAGTATATGTCTATCAAAAGCAATGATACCTCTCAGATAAGTCATTTTCTTTTCATTCTTCTTTTCCTTCAGTTTGCCATTGTTGAACTTGCTTCCCAAATAAGTCACATCGACAAATGCTCCAGGGTTAAAGAATCCACTCTCATGTGGTGTAAATTCAAACCAGATATCTTTAAAGAGATTGAAAAATTACAGTTTGAACATGTAAGTACTACTGTTGCAAAGCAGGGTATTTCTTTTAATATCCTGCTATTGCATGAAGAGTGCCTCAAAGTTTGAAGTCATTTCTTACTAGTTATCTTCCTTTTCCAAAAATTCATTTAGCAACCAATTAAAACCAACCCTCAGGTTTATGACTCTCAGTAGATCCCTATGATTACATGATCAAAATTTGGGTGCTTGGCAACCAGCATTTATTTACAATAGTTGCAGCATCTCATGTGATCCACTCTTTGTTAACTTCTCAGCCAGCTTCTGACAAGAAAATGCAATAGTGGAAGCTGGATTTGCTTACTAACAGCATGATTCCCTTAATAACTGCAGTGATTCCCTTAACAACTATGGCAACTAGATCATAAAATTGGGCATGACTTATTTAGCAACCATAAATTGATGAGTATCTGTACCTGTATTAATGATATTGTTATACATAATATTATCAGAAAAAATATGCCTCAAAAGTGCAGATTAAAAAGATAATATATATTTGTGACTTCCCCAAACAATATCTATCTATCTATCTATCTATCTATCTATCTATCTATCTATCTATCTATCTATCTATCTATCTATCTATCTATCTATCTATTGTATGTNCTATTGCTATTGCTATCTCTTTTCTAGCATCTCCAGGTGGTGATAAAAAGTGGAGTTTGGAGAACATGTACTGAAAAAATCCTGTATCTTTTTGTTTTCTGTTGTCCTTACCAAACTTTTCTGGTAATATCATAGTATTCTAATTTTGGACTTGTGCTTTTTCACAAGCTGACATTTCTATTCTTTTGACAAAAAAGCTACTATCAATATTGCACAGTGCAAATACAGGGGTTTAGACTTGATAAAAAGAGAGTGGTTTTCTTTTGAAGAGATCTGATATTGTGTACTTCTAACAAGTTGGGGAACTTACCTGATGCTTCATAATGAAAAATCAACTTCTTAAGGATATCTAGAAATATAATAGAGTCAAACAGTTTCAGTTTATAAATATGTTCACAACCTCTTTAAAAACATGTCACATTTCAAAGAAAAACTTTGTCTATATATAAACCTTTCAATTATTTAACATCTTTTTAAGTTCATCTGGTCATATAAACACCTGAAAGTTATTATCTCCAAATTAAAGACTTGAAAATGTCTTCTTTGATCAATTGTCAAGTCATCCAGGACTGTTTTATTTGACAGTTTTAATTTTTTAATTAATTGTATGTAAGTATACTTTTCTGAACTACCTTTATTTTCTGGGCAGTTTTAACATTTTTTTTCAATCTATTATATGGCCAGTTCTAAAATCTTTTAATCTAACAAATCTTAATTAGCAATCAAAATTCAATCCGATTTTATAGCTCAATGCTAAAGTATATGTTCTAACATTAAATGAAACAAAAATAAACAGCTGTGCTGTTATAGCTATCTCAGCATTTTCTAAACAATATTTATCTGGGAAAACAATCTGACTTTACATCAGCTAAAATTTCCATATAAGAGGTCATAAGAGTACATAAGTTTGAAATTCATTTATTCACTGGAAAGTAATTTTCTTCACTTTGCATGTGGCAAAATTTGTCCCACCAGTGCACATATCTTTTAAGGAATAATTTTTTTAAGATAAATATCTTTTTTTATCTAGCTTTCTGGAATGCTGACGCTTTCTTTGCTCAATTGGGTCACAGTCCAATCTTGGATAACTTTTTGGGTCAATATGAAACATACCTTTTAAAATACCTATTAAAATACCCATTGAAGCTTTAATGTCTTTTTTCAAATCTGCAACAGCACTTCCCCATAATCCTGAAAGAAAAGGAATAGTTTTCTAGAAACTTAGTAAAATGAGCAAGCATATTTATTTAATAATTTGGCCCCTTGATCATATTGAAAATAACAATTTGGTCATTATTTGGAGAAACCTCAGGTGAGATATAGACTTGTATGTATCACCTCCATTATTTGTTATTTTGATCTTTCCCATCACCTCAAGACAACTGTTTTCCCTAAAAGCATTATGGGAACCACTCATAAAGATAGCGTCTTTCTTTGAAATCACAATATCTTATTTTCTCACTTTAAAAAGCACTGTGTGTGCTCATAGAAAATAAAAATCATAACAAATAAACAGGTATTTTGGATTTCTTATCCTAAAAAAGTTAAACTATCATTTTTAAATTACACAGTACTGTATTCTAGATCGTGCAATAAATCATAGCTATAAATGTAAGATATTAGAGATAAAAACTATGTGTGTGTATAAAAATTGCAAAGGGAAGGGGTTTGTCACATTTAGACACCACATGCCTCAATGTTATAAATCTGGAAACATGTATAACATATGTTCAGTGACGTGCAGTGAATTTTTTTAGACTTGTGGACTTCAACTCCCAGAATTCCACAGCCAGGCATGCTCAGTTCCGATTTAAAGTGACAACATTTGTTTTTCTCCTTTGCTAAAAAGTTTCCTTCATTCTTTTCCTTCTCCCTCTCCCTCCTTCTTCCCTCTCTCCCTCCCTCCCTTCCCCCTCTCTCAAACAGACACACGCACACAGAGAAGTTGGATTGGACTATCTCCTTCCCTTTCTCACTCACTCTCTTTCAAACAAACACAAACACAGAAGTTGGATTGGACTATCTCCTTCCCTTTCTCACTCACTCTCTTTCAAACAAACACAAACAC